CTAAGGACAGAATTAAAGGGGGTGGAGGGGGGAAGCATGGGAAAGGGAACAGAGTTCTAAAAATTGCACCCCTAAAAGGGAAATAAATATTTGTCTTCTGTCAACATTACAAAAATCTACTCTGAATGATTTTACCATTGTGCCATAGCTAAGATTGAAGCAAAGTTCACTATATGCTTGGTGTTGTCACTGCCTCCAAATTTCAGTCACACTTGGGGTCAAAATTGGTAGGTTAGATGTGGGTATCATGGATTATTTTAGGGGAGTGCCAGCCTGGTGACCCCAGCCTGTGGTACTTCTAAATATCCCCTGAAGCCAGCCTAGCCATAGCTTCTAGAGCACAGAGCAAGCCCTGGCTCCTTCCGTCTCTTGAGGCCCAGGCTTTTTTATTTCTTTGATTCTCCCTGGTTATCCACAACCCTTCCACGGGAATTACTTTTACAGTTCAGCTTCTGAGAGAAACTTGACCTTTTCGAAGGGAGAGAGAGAGACACATCCCAAGTTCCAAGCAGCAATAGTGAAAAGGCATGTAGTGGAGGGTGAAGGGTAAAGCAATACTTCTGTCCCCAGTCTAACCCAGACAGCTCCGAGCCCGAGAGTAGATCTGTTTTTCAAGCTGCTCCATCTAGTGCAATTTCTCTCTCTCTCTCTCTCTCTCTCTCTCTCTCTCTCTCTCTCACCCTTTTCCATAGAGAGAATGTGAGAGAGCCCCTGTACCATAGGTGCCGAGTACATGGGGGGGCCTGGGGGCCCTGGCTCCCCTCGGGAAGAGGGTAACGTGACCATCCGTCCCTAATTGGGCGGAGCAGTCCTGAAATTGGAACATCAGGTCCTAGTCTGGGGTTGCATGTCTCTAGGACAGCATTTGTCCTGGATTCCCAGTATCACGCAAGGATCCAGGTTTTTCATTCACTGGGGGGGGAAAAACATGGGGAAAAAAGCAGGTTTCCCCTTGCAAGCTGGCACAGTTCCAGCCTGCAAGGGGGTGTGGGGAGCAATATGCAAGGAGTGCCACATGCATGTGCACGCATGCACATAGCCAGGAACGCAGCCCCAGGCAGTGGTGGAGATCAGCTCCCCCAGCTGCCTGCAGGTAAGTCTAGGGGGTGGGGGGGGATGGATGATCAAAGCCTTTACAGTGAAGGAGGGAGTGGGGCAGGGCCTGAGCCTGGAAGCGCAGCCCAGCAAGGGCGGTGCATGGGGCCTGGGGCTGGGGCAGGGAGTGGGACAAAGTCACAGGTGGATTGTCTAGGAGGCATGGGGGCTGGTTCCCTGTCACTGCATGCATCCCCAGGGAGGGGAGCATGTGGGGGGGCCCATGCCTCTCAGACTTGTGCACAGGGCTGGGACAGATGTGGGCTGCCTGCCATGCTACCCTCTCCCTGGGAGCCCCACGCCAGCTGCACTGCCGTGGCAAAGTGCTCCCTCACCACGGCAGTGCAGCTGTGTGCCTGACAGCAGTTGGGGTGGCAGTGTAGAGCTGTGCCCTCCAGTGCTGCCAGGTGGCCAGGGGATACTTTGCCATGGTGGCATGCCTAGTGCAGGGCTCCTAGGGGGAGGGCAGCAGGGTGGGGAGCTCCAAGCCTGCAGTGGGCAGCCCATATCTGCCCGTCCCCCCATGGGCTCTGCTCAGCTCTGCTCTAGCTGTGCTGGGGAGGGCATCATCTTAGGGGCCCCCACCAGCAAAAATAAAAGTCAGTGCTTATGCCCTGTACACAAAGAAGATTGTGTGATTATCTATTTCCCTCTCTGAATCTCTTCCTCTTCTCTGTTTCCAATCTGTTATTGAACCAAATTGTACTTTCTGTTCCACAGCAGGTATGTCTCTGCATAATGTAAATGCTGCTATGATATCATCTTTTCACTGTATGCATGTAACTCTCACTTAATGCTCATAGAATTCCCTAAGACAGTAACTCAGTGGAAGTGTTCCTGGCCTGCCAGTGCCCAGGTCTCTGGTTTGAGATCTGTCTCCACTGAAGGGTTCTAGATTGGCTGCTTAGCTCCCAGGCAGATATTTTAATCATTTAGAAGATGCGATTGAGTCCACACTTAGCAAAGTTCCCTTTCCCTGCCTGATCTATCACTCTGCTTCCTGCTCCCTGTTCTGTGCTGCCTGCCCCATCCCTGCTCTGTTCTATGCCTGTGCCATTTGTGGCACAAGTGGTGCTGGTTGGCCATCCCTGAATTAGATTACTAGGTATAATTGGGAAGTCCTGTGACTTGCCTTCTCCAGCCAAGAGCTGTATCACTATAAATGGTCCAACAAGAGGCTTCCTAAACAGTTCTCTCTCTCTCTCGCTCTTTCTCTCCCCCCCCCCCCCCCCCCCCAATCACACTTCTGCACACAAACACACCCACCCAGGAAGTTGCAGAAATGGGCAAACCATTTACTAAGGCTTAGGTCTGAGCAGGGCAAAGTTTTCTGAGAGCATGTTTTCATTCCACTCTTACCTGCATACAACAGGAATGTTGTAGAGCTGGCAATTCAAAGACTAGAATTGATCTGAGGGAAGTTTATATCTATAAAATAAGATTTTGGACCCATGTGCCTCTGAGTTGCTACACTTGAGCACCATAAACTCTAAAAATGCCCAAGAAAATCAAGAATAAAGGAAAAGTATCTCACGTGGAAACTCAAGTGAAGGGCATTCTTTGCTTTAGTCCACTGTGTAAAATTGCCAAGCACTTGGAGCGGCCATGTGTGAGATCCCTCTGATTGGACAAATTTGATCAACAATGTGCATCTAAAAGCCTCAAATAAGCATTTCGTTCTCAAATGCAAAATAATAGGTCTGTGAGCTTCTGTGGTTGTTTTCAATTGTTCTGATGGCCTGTTTGTTCTCCTTCCTGTCTGGGCAACATTTTTTCCCTTCTCTATGTACTACCATATCTATTACATGTAATATCGATAAAGTTCTCAACTATGTTTAAAAACAGTATTGGTTTCATAGCAACTCCCTGAGGAAGGTCACTATTTCCTCTCTTATAATGTGAAATTGAAGTGCAAGAGCTCTGCAGCAGAACAAAATAGCTCCCAAATGTCCTGAGGGCAGGGAGAGGAGCAGAAGCGAAGATTTTTCCTAGTCCGCTCATCCATGCTGAAACAAATACTGCTTTAAATATGTTTTTTACTCTTTTCATTTTACTCCCTGATTGGCTTTATGCACATTCCCTTTTCTTCAAAATAAAGTCACTCAGAAGAAAAGTAATAATCTTATTTGGCATTAAATGGCATATAGGTGTGGTGGCTGTCTCACAGGAAGAATGACACACAGACTTGTTGCTTCTCTGGGAGTGCTACACATAAGCTCACTCCTCATGAGTCAAGTCAGATGTTCTCAAACTAGTTTAGCAAACAGAACAGGGTTAGATGACTGGGCTAGTGTAGGATGACTTTAAGAGGATCCTGAGCCACCAATGTGATGTGGCTATACAACAAGCAAATGCAATCCTTGGCTCCATCGGGGGGAGGCATTTCCTGCAGAGATAAGGAAGTGCAAATGCCACAGTAGGAGGCTCATCTGGCCTAGTGTGTACAGTTCTGGTCATCCTTAATCAAGCACTTGTGTGTGTCCTTTTCACAGCACTGGATGAAGTGAGCTTCAGCTCACCAAAGCTTGTTTATGTATATGTAGTCAAGCAGAAGGCAGGGTGGATTTGCACCTTGTAGACCAACCAAAGTATGTGCATGTATGTAGATATAAATATATACTTTGGGGCATGCATGTGTGTGTGTGCATGCATGCCCACACACACAGCAGTGCAGATTAGCAACTTATATAGACTAACCAAAATGTGCGTGTGTGTATACATACTTTGGTGTTGTGTGTGTTTGTATGTGTGTGCATGAGCACATATACATACACATATATGCACACACACACACACACACACACACACACACACACGGCAGGGTATATCGCACCTCATAGACAAACCAAAATATGTGTGTGTATGTATAAGTACAACCATATCCATTTCATAAAATATCTAAAGATCTCAATTATGCTTAAAAACAGTGTCGGTTTCATAGCACCTCCCTGAGGAGGGTCAACACACACGTATTATACACACACACACAAGGCAGGGTGGATTGTACCTTACAGACTAACCAAAGTGTGTGCGTGTGTGTGTGTGTGTGTGTACCTAGATATATATACTTTGGTGTATACACACCCCTCCCCACACACACACACACAAAACGGCAGGGTAGATTTGCACCTTATAGGCTAAGCAAGGCATGAGTGTGAGGGTATAGATATATATGTGTGTGTGTGTTTATATGTACGTAGACACGCACATATAAACACACACACGCATGAGGGTGCACGCCCCCCCCACACATAGGGGTCCGCCAGTGCAGGCAGAGGCGGGGCGGGCGGGCGGTGCCAGGCCGGGCCCCCTCCCCTCGGGGCGGGGCTGGGCTGGGCGGAGAGGCAGGGGGCAGCGGCGGCGG